TCAACTCCCAGAATTCCCCAGCCAGCATGGCTAGCTGGGGAATTCTGGGAGTTGAAGTCCACCTGCTTTAAGTTGCCAAGGTTGAGAAACACTGCTGAAGGCTCCATTTTTTTTAATCCCTGGGTGCTGATGGGAATAACCAGGAAGAAAGAGAGAAGGGGGAACCGGTAAAACCAGGTTGGCTTCTCCTGCAACCCCCCACTCCTATTTTTTTTCCTTTCTTTCTTTGCATTTTCAGTTCCTGCAGGGAACTTGATCTGGCTTACGCTGTTCTTCAGGGCTTTGCTGGGAATCTAGTGGATTTTTTTTCCAGAAGGAGTTGGACGTTTTGACCCTCTTTTAAGAATGGTTACACCTGCCCCTCCAAGTTGCACAAGAGTGGGAACCGGATCCGGGCTCCCCCGTTGGCGTCCCCTTCACGATCCGTTTCCAATTTCCAGTATTTCAAGATGTGCTACCAAGCCTGGTATTTATTGACATCCCCAGGATTTCTTGCAATCAGAGTATACAAGCTGCTGCTTTTTAATCCCCCCCACCCTGGAATTTGCAAGCTGTTTAACTGGAATCCGTTTTCTTCTCTTGCACTGATGCAACAGTAATTTTCAATTTTTTTTCCAGGGTGGGGGGGTGATCTTGTGACCTTCTAAGAGCACAGAACAGAGGGTGACTGTTATGATAAGTAATTTTCCTGCTTCCCCTAATGTCCGTGGGTCTCTTCCTGTCCCGTTCCCCCCCCCCGCCAAGAAGCAGGAAGCATATATCATGCTGAATTTATGAAAGTAATTTATCACAGAAATGTGGTTTTATTTTATGTCCTTTATAAGCTAAACGGGGAACTGTTTTTAGAAGTTTTAATTTGTTTCCCTCTGAGCATTCTTGGTAAAGGTGTAAGCTTTGGAATAATGACAAAAATAAATCTGCCAGAGAAAGACTCTAATGCCAAGCAAATAGATGCTCCAAATGAATAAATTAAAAATGACTTACTGGAATTCTCTGGTCATCTGTTACTGCATGTTTCATGTTTAAATGAGAAGGTAGTGGGGAACACCTATTCGTTATTTCCATATTTAGCTTGTCCTTTTTCCCCAAATCGTGTACATTGTTCTATCTCCTCTTCCTTCATGCTCCCAACAACCCTGTGAGGTAGGTTCTTCTGAAATAAAAACTTGGGGGAAAAAATCTGGACCTATCTTCCTTCCTTCCTTCCTTCCTTCCTTCCTTCCTTCCTTCCTTCCTTCCTTCCT